CTGTTCCTTAGAAAAAAAGAGGAAAAAATAAAAGGATTTGGATTATAGGCACTATGATTAAAATTTAAAGAAAGAAACATTGTTTTCCCACTTTTTCCCACTCCAGATGCGAACTCGGGGAGGAAAGCGGGAGGTGGGGAATTTAAAGAGCAAAATGAGAATACACAGAGAGCAAACCAAGAGGAGAGAGAACAAGAAGGAGGGGAAAACAAAGCAAGAGGCAAAAAGAAGAGAGATGAAACAGGAAAAAATGAGGGAGAGCGGGGGAAAAAATCAGAAGTGGAAATAAGCAATCAAAAGAAATAACAAAAGGAAAGGAGCAAACAAAGGAAAACACAGGGAGAACAAAGGGATGAGAGGGGGCAGAGCGGCAGCAAACTCAGAGAGAGAACAAAGGGGGGATGTAAGGCAGCCCCAGACACAAAAACTGAGACGAGGCAGCACTAAAGACAAAGTGAGACAAAAATAGCACCAAAGCGGGAAACGTGAAGGGAGGGAAGGTCGTGGTGAGCTGGCACCAGAGCCGAGGGGCAGAGCTGGGCGTGGGCACGGACCAGGAGGGTGATGCTGTGCCAGCCGCTGCCTGTGGGACCACCGGGGGACAGGGCAGGGCGGGCAGGGGGAGCGGGGGGTGGCTGGAAGGGTCGGGGCTGCACCGTGTCCTGGTGCCGGAGAGGAGCCAGCGCTGCCCGGAGACCCCTCCGAAGGTGGAAGAGCCTCTCAGTTCCTCCCAGTTGTTCCCAGAAGGGGCAGGAAGGAGCTCTCCTTTCCCCGCTCATCCCTCCCTCTGCCCAGCCCGAGCTCTCCTGTCCTTGCTCTCCTCCCAGAGCCGGGGGGGTCCCGGCTGGGGGCAGGACGCGGTTGAATTTGGGGTCCAGCTGGCTCCAAACCTGCTGTGCTGCCAGAGCCAAGGCCAGGGGGGATGCTGGGGGCAGCTCTGGGGTGACAGAGCTAAGAAAGGGTAAAAAATGCTGCCCAGCTGCTGAGAGAGAGAGAGGAGAGAGGAAACCGCGGGAGAAACAGCCCTGCAGAGATGAGGTCGGGGCAGGAGCAGGGGCAGGAGGTGCCCCGGGTGCCAGGGCGGCCCGTGGGGTCCGTGGGGGAGCAGAGACCCCCCTGCAGCCCCTGGAGGAGGCTGAAGCAGGTGGAGATGCCCTGGAGGAAGGTGCAGCCCATGGAGAGCAGGTTTTCTTTCAGGAATTGTGGCCCAGGGAGGATCCGCAGCTGGAGCAGTTCAAGAAGGACTTTATGCCGTGGGAGGGACCCCACGATGGCACAGGGGGAACGTGTGAGGAAGGACCAACAGGCAAAGTGTGATGGACCAACTGCAGCCCCCATCCCCACCCACCTGCACCTCCCGGGGAGTGGGGAGGGGGTGGAAGAGTTGGGAATGACACAGGGAAGCTGAGCCTGGAAAACAGGGTCGTTAGGAAGAAGGTGGGTTCAGTTTGTTTCTCACCACCCACTCCGTTTTTAATTGCAATAAATGAGATTATTTTGCCCCAAATCAAGACTGGTTTGCCCGTGATGGTACCTGGGGAGTGACCTCCCTGCCCTTCTCTTGACCAGCTTTTCCAGCTGATTTTCTCCCCCATGCCATGCTGTGGAAGGAGGGGAGGGGAGGGCAGCTGGGTGGGCATCCAGCAACCCACCACACCTCTCCCAGCTCAGCGGCTCTGCAGGAAGCTCCTGCTGTGCCAGAGATCCCTGTGGCAGCTCTGCTCCATCCCTGTGGCAGCTCTGCTCCATCCCTGTGGCAGCTCTGCTCCATCCCTGCTCCATCACCGGGCCACTTTTCCTGGGATGAGGCTCTGAGCACGTTTTCCATGCAGGAAACAACCCAGACTCCTTGGGAGGCTCAAAGGATCCTGGTGGTGACTGTTCCACCCTCAGGATGCCAGTTATTGCCCCCAGTTTGGTGCTGGAGCCAGTTCTGCAGCTCAGCAGAGCTCAACTTGTCCCCCACTCCACTGCTATTCCCTCCTGGCTGTGCTTGCTGAGGAGCACAATAAGGAATTAGTCCCTGCCTGGGCTCTTGAAACTGTGAAACACTTGCCTATAACAGTAAAACTTGGAATTACAATAGCCAGGAAAGACATTTGGGGAGCTATTACCCATCAGGTCTCAGAGTCACCAGATGTGACTGAAATAAGAAACTCCTCCCCTGGAAAGCTCCCGGGGTTGCAGGATTTCTCTCTCTGTGTTATTCCCCCTTCTGTTGGAGGAAAAACACTTGACTCAGAGGCTCAGGGTGGCTGTTCCAGGGAGTGATTCCTGCATGGCTTCCAAGTAAACATTTGGCAGTTCAGGAGCCCCTGGAGCCAGTGCCCAGGTTATTATTTTCCCTGCCTTGTGCAGGATCTCAGCTCCAAGTGGGATCCAAAGCACTTGGGCCAAATTCTCAGCTGGAGCTTGAATGAATAACCCAAACCAGCTGTTGGGAAGGAACTGAGCCTTTTTTTCTTTGCTGCCATAAATTCCTACATGGGCAGGTGTTTAATACAGTCACCCCCATGGGATGGGACACTGAACCCACTTGCTCCTGACAGGATATCCTGGAGAACTGGAGAATGCTGAGCTGGGCTCTGAAGCTCATCACTCCGCTCTGGTATTTTATCTGACTGTTCCCAGAAGGATGAGGTCACTTTGCTCCTCAGCTCCTCACTCCCACCAGTCCTCACTAAAATCCCAGTCCCACCAGTCTTGACTTCACTGGACACCTGGAGGAGCTGAGCAGCTTCCCTGGCTCCAGAGGGTTGTGTGGCTCCTGCTTGTAGGAATCTTTAAAGCCATAACTAATTTGTGGAATTTTTTTTTCATTTATAAGAACAAAGATTCCAGGAACCACTTCCCCCAATACACAGGACCAGCTCCCCAACAAAAAAAAGAGCTCAACCCCTCACCTTTACTGGGCTGATGGGTCTGGAAGAGTTTATTTATGTCCCTAAAGCTGGCACAAAGCTTTTCTGATGTTTAAAGGACTCTTTTGGTTTGGCAGCGACAGGGAATGACCCTTCATCCTTCCTGCCCACGTCCTTGGAAATCCAGCTGAGATTCCTAATGGCCACACACGCTTTTCCCAGTCCCCAGCCCAACAAAGGATGGCTTCTCATCTGCCAAGAGGAGCTGCAGAGGTTTCTGATGCCTCATTTCCCCCTGCCCAGTGGAGTGCTCAGTCTGTGCCCAGCAGCAGACGAGTGCCCAGATTGCTCCGTGCCCGAGCAGAGGCTTTTCAGTGAAACCTCTGACTTTGAAACGAGAGTTTCACTTCATTTGAGGGCTTAGAGGGAACTTTCTGGCAGTTCTGCTCCCTGCCCAGGGCAGCACAAAGGGCAGCAGCAGGGGAAGAGCTCACTGTGGACTCCAGAGGGTGGTCCATGACTCAGAGCCCTGAGGGACACCAGGGACAAGGGGTGTCTGCCAGGGGTCTGTTCTGGGCTCAGTATTATTTGATATCTTCATGAATGACACAGGTGAAGGGATCAAGGGCCCCCTCAGCAGGTTTGCAGGGTGAGGCTGCAGTGACACACCTGGAGGATGGGACCATCCCTCTGCACAAGCTCCAGAAGTGGCCCCTGGGAATCTCCTGAGGTTTAACAAGGCCAAGTGCAGCTGCTGCACCTGGATCAGGGCAATCCCAGGATCAGTCCAGGCTGGGGATGAGCAGATGGAGCAGCCCTGGGAGAAGGACCTGGGGGAGAGGCTGCACATGACCCAACCCTGTGCCCTGGGCTGATCCCCCAGTGTGGGCAGAGGGCAGGGGGGGATTCTGCCCCTCTGTCCCCTCAGCTGAGACCCCCCTGCAAAGCTGCTCCAGCCCTGGGGAACAGCCCAGGGAGGACATGGAGCTGCTGGAGAGAGTCCAGAGGAGGCACCAGAGGGATGGGGCAGCTCTGCTGGGAGGGAAGGCTGGGAGAGCTGGGGGGGTTCACCTGGAGAAGCTTCAGGGAGACCTAATTGTGGCCTTGCAGGACCTGAAGAGGCTACAAGAGAGCTGGAAAGAGACCATTTACAAGGGCCTGGAGTGACAGGACAAGAAGGAATGGCATCAAACTGCCAGAGGGCAGGGTTAGATGGGATATTGGGAAGGAATCCTTCCCTGTGAGGGTGGGGAGGCCCTGGCACAGGTTGCCCAGAGAAGCTGTGGCTGTCCCTGGATCCCTGGAAGTGTTCAAGGCCAGGTTGGACAGGGCTTGAAGCAATCTGGTCTAGTGGAAGGTGTCCCTGCAGGGGGTGGGACAGGATGGTCTTTAATGTCCCCTCCAACCCAAAGCATTCCATGATTCTCTGCTGTGGAGCACATTGCACTGAAGTGTTTTCTGACATGGACCTTGCCCCTGAGGAAGCCCTGAGTGTGTCAAATGCTCCCCACAAGGGCACAGGTTTCCATCTTGGGTGATCCTGTGGTTGCAGATCCCACCATGGGATGTCCCACCCCTTGCCCAGCCAGGCCCAGGCTGGAGGTGACACTTCCCTGGGGTGATGGGCACATTTGCTGTGCCCCCAGCTCGGGGCAAGAGCTGCTGCTGCCACCCAAGGAGCTGCTGTGGTGCCTTTGTCACACGGGGCACCCACAGAGACACCTCCCTCCTGCCCATCCCTCACTCTCCTTACAGGGCACCACCTGGTTTTTAGGAGAACACGGATGTGAGGAAGTGGGTTGGAGTGTCCTGAGCTCCAGGTAACGTTTAGGAACCTTCAGGAACACCCAGCCTGGGTTCAGGAATACGTTTGCAGGCGCTGCTTTATTTACCACGTCTCTTCTCAGTTCTGGGATGTAACTGTGTTATCTGGTGAGTGACAGCAGTGGGATGGATGGGATGGGAGTTAATCTGTGTCCACCATCTCTCTTGATTTCTCCTTCATTTCCATTTCTTTTAAAAGTGGAAGTTTCATTAAAAAAGCAGCACTTTTCTATTAAATAAGTAGCAGAGAAGAATGACTGCCTCTGTATCTCATCAGCAGTGAATCTTTTTAAAACCACTCAGGAGACAAGGCTCAAATCATATATTTAATAAGAATCACTTGGATATCACTTCTTAAAGCAATTAACATATTATTAGGGATAAGCCAAGATGCAACAATTAGACCCAGATTTCTAAGACAGATTCCTACGGTTTCGGAGGGCGCAGACCTCGGGCTGTGGCCTCAGCAATCACCTCTGCATGTCACAAACCAGTGTCAGAATTTCACTCACACGGACACAGCAGATGAAATTCTCACTTTCGTTCCTCATTTTGCTCGTGCTGATTTTCCTGATTCTTCTCAGTCGTTGAAAGCTGCAATTACAGCAGCGACAAGGGGCAAACACCTCAGCGGGGGCTCTGAGTGATCATTTCCAGCTTCCCCTTCCTTGTGGAGAGTCAGGGGGTTGTTTTCCACGTGGAGTATGAAGGAAAGGCATCTGTGAACCTTAATAAAGGATCAAAGAGCTCATCACCAGCAGGATCCTCGTCTTGTGCCCCCTGAGTGCAGGCACGGCACCGATGGCACTGGGAGATGCTCTGCCGGGGGCTGCTGGACACAGGGACATCCCAGAGGGGCTGTGGTGACAATCCAGAGAGCTAAACACAGCCTGTCCCTCCTGCCTGGCAGCTGGAGCAGCTCCTGCCAGGGATGGGAGCCGAGGGGAAGCCACACATTCCGTGGTGCTGCCGGTAGCAGCGGCACAGCCGGAGGGCTGGGGGTGGCACCTCATCCCACCACGATTAAATGTGACAAAGCCCATCTGCTGGTGCCCTGGGCACTGGCAGGACTCGAGCTGGACTGGGAACTAGGAATTCTACGACATTTTTTGTTGTTTATCCTGAAACATGCGGGCTTTTCCCTCCTCTGACCCACACGTGGCTGCCGCTGGTGACTGACAGCAAACTGATTGCTCAATTAAAGGGCTTTTGAGCAGTTTGACCGACCCCCCGGACTTGCCTGGAGTCCACTTCAGCAGCAAATTGCTTTTCTTAGAAGGCAGCAACAAACGGAAGGGGGAAAACATATCATGCATCTAAAGATTTGTGATCATATCAGGTTGGCAAGGGCTGAGATTTATTACACGAGAGATGATGCAACAGCGAAGAAGGAGAGCAAAATTCTACATTGACTCCCTACTTTGCAGTTCAGGACAACTAAGAGGTTTTACTTCATTAAGGAAGGCAAGGGAAAAAAATCAGGGACAACCCCAATGCTTGAGGGAGTCCTGTAAAGCCTAAATGAACAATCAGTCCTACGTTGCTGTAGAAGGAACAATGAAATATATCTGCTTCTGTTCAATAAATTACTAAAACATCAGTTATAAACCTGCTGCATGGCATTGAAAATTAAACTCATTAAACATCCAGGTAGCTTCATCCTGATGCAAATGGAAGACAGGCATGAGTGCTCTGCAGCAAACAACTCTGTGCACATCCCATCTTTGGGAACCATATTTACACATACATCTCATATATTAATATATTTTAGTGCACCCTAGCCAGAGGGCAACCAGAAAGAGTATTATTCTGTGAGAAGGACAGGAGAAGGGCTGGCTTCTCCTCTCTGCTGGGCAAGGCCTGTGTCCATCCATGGGCAGCAACTGTGCAGGACCATGTTTCCCTTTTCCACGTGGGCCAGACACCAGGGCCCCAAATAATGGTCTCCTGTGACAGTTGGGTGGGTTTGGGAGCCAAGAGTTGGCAGCCAAAATTATTTTGAGACCAGTCCACCATATTAACAAGCCTGAAGTGACTTGCAGGTCAAGAATTTCAGCCCAAGTGCCATTTTTTGGTCTCTTGCCCTCCTTCTCTGCTCCTTCCAGAGCTCGGGAAGGTCCGAAGGGACAAGGACAGGCTGGGGAGGGCCTTGACCACGGTGACACATGGAGAAGGCAGGACAGGGAAGAGGACACCACTGCAGAGTTGGGGAGACCACCATTCCTGATGTCCCCAAAGGGTAGGCAGACATCCCACATCGTTCCCAAGGGGAATTTGGGGTCTCCATGGGAGGGACTGGTGCTGCTCAGCACATGGGTGAGGGAGGGGGAGAATGGGAGATCAGTGGGTTTATTCAGTGGCATTTTGTTTGAGGATATCTGAGATTAGGAGCTGGGGGATGAAGGGTGTGTTTTGTTCCTCCAGCACTCAGGAAAGGGGCTGCTGGATGCAGGGGCAAGGAAGGGAAAAGAGAGCAAGGACCCAGCAAGACAGCACATCCTTCACCCTCCTCTCCTTTGGGGCCTGGTGACCATTTTCCTCCCACAAGCACCCAAATTTTCACCCTTGCCAGGCAGGTGTATCCAGGGTGGGTGACCCTGAACCTACCCAGCCCTTTTGGCAGGGCTTGGAGTTGTCTGGGAAAGCAACAATTCCCTGTCAGCACGAGGCTCCCGGGGCTGCAGGAGCTCATTCCAGTCGTCCCAGCAGCACCTTCCCCAGTGCTCTGCAGAAGGAACCAGCAGTTCTGCCCCAGTTTCACACAGCTGGGATCAGCTGGGGGACACTTCAACACAACAAAGGAAAGACAGCGATGCCCATTTCCCCCATGTCCTCTCCTGATAACATGAATAAAGCTCTGTTTTGATATTCCATCCTTCCCAAAGGAGTCCTGTCGGATCAGTCCAGGTCAACTGTGGCTGGAGTCACACTCCCCTGACTCTTCCAGCCTTTACTTGATGAAGTTTTTAATTGTCCACCTTTGTCCTGTGCAGCTGCGAAGGATCAGATCGATTCCAGCCATTCCCTTGTTCTCCACTTCCAGGCACCTCCCCGTGCCCTTGTTCAGGATGGCACCGTTCTGAATAAATTAAATATTAAAATTAATATTAAATTAAAATTAAAGGATAGGGGGAAAGCATTAAAAAAATTAAGACTTTGGGTTGCCTGTGAAGCAAATCAGGGTGGCACCCAGGGGTGCAGACACGTCCTTGGGCTCTAGTTGGGTGGAAATGCAATTCCAACAATAAAATAATTCCTAAAATAAATAATGGGAGTGGAATGAGCATCCATAAGGCACCCAAGGAACATCTGGAACCTTTAAATTCCCTGTGTTGGGAAGGTGGGACACTTGTGTACAATGTAGATTATTTACACTCTGCCTTGGCACAAGAATACTGTGTTTTCATGGAGATTATCCATAAGGAATCTGGGAGTCATTGGCAAGGCAGGCCACATCCACCAGATGTAACCAGATCCACCCTTATGGCATCAGAAAGGAAAACTTCCACTGGAAATGGACCCGAAATCCTGCCCCTGATCCCTCTTCACCTTTTCCCTCTGCCTTCGGACCCGGCACCTGCCGTTCCATGGGATCAGTTGTCCCACACCATCCCGTGTCAGACGTGGTGCCCCAGCCCAGGGTTTGGGGAGCAGACTTGGAACACACCTGGATGAAACTCCAGCGCTTGTGGAGGCTGCTCTTGACCTTCTCGCAGTCCAGGAGCTGCGGGAAGCGGCTCTTCCCGTTATCCACCAGGCACCGGGTGTCCGGGAGCAGGGTCGTGGTGCCCAGGGCACCCAGGTGAAGGAACCCCTCCTTGGTGTAACGTGCCAGCTGTGGGCAGGGGAGGACAGAAAGGACCATCAGCACCGTGGGAGCGTCACTAAAGCGATACAGGAAAGGACAGAACTGTGGGGACGGGGCACAGGGAAAGCAGAACTGAAAAGAGGGGAAAAAACAACTTTATCCGGCCCTTTTAGCCTTGATTTGGGTTTGGGGTTTTTTTCAGATGGAAAAAAAAAAAGGTGGGGAGATGGGACACAGGGAAGGGGTGAGAATAACTCTGAGTCTTAAATCCATTGGGATTGTCCCGCTCTGCTCTGCCCTGGGGCGGCCTCACCTCAACATTGGGGCAGTTTGGGGGGACACAATGGA